AACCAGATTCCCAAGACAGATGGGCAGAACTGTCACTTCAAAGCTGTGGCAACATGCTGATGTTAAAGCAAATAAAAATCTCTGCCTCCCTGCAGAGTAGCAATGATCTTACTTTTGTACGTGTCACTGGTGTACATGCTGCAATGCTATTTCTTTTGGTTTGGCAATGCAGGTAGTCTACTAGAAAACTTGAAATCATCAGAATGGTTAACAGAAGGATGAAAGGGCTGGAAAATCACCAGGTTATAAAACTTAAACTTGAAGATTAATTAAGAGGGGTCTTGATCATGATGTATTAACACCTACACTAGACTAGACATCTTGCAACAAAGGGATTTTCAATTTATTGGTCAATGATGTAAGAAGATTTGATGGATAGAAAACGGAAGCTAAGAAATCAATACCACAATTAAGTCACACTTGAATAGGAAAGGTGACAACGGGAACAACTTACCTATTATTTCATCGCTGTCTATTTTTAGTCAAAACTGAATGTTCTTCTGAAGATAGAAGAACATTCTAGTTCTCTCACCCTAAGGAGCTGATGGTGGCCTTAGCGTATAAAACATTAATATCTGTACTTTTCTGTTAAGCAAGAATGCTAACATGCTATGGCTTAACTTATTTTTGCTACTAAACTAGAAAACAAATCCAACCCATAGTTCTTATCTATAAGGAATTGTCTTTTTACTTTTTCTGCTTAAAACACGGTTTACAAGTATAATTAATGCTCAGTGAACATGGGATTTTCCTCTTTTGTGAGCTGACAAAATGAGCCAACTTGGATGGCAAGATATTACGTTAAACACCAGTCTTCTTGACATAAAGTCAAACTGAATTTATGCTGAATAATTTGATTGGAAATCATATCCAATTATCTTAAATTGGTCATTCCAGACTAACAGAGCAATAAAGGGCACTGTGTTTGTTGATGTATTTGACCTTGATATTACAGTCATGTCAAAACATGTAAGCACTATAATTCCAGCCTAATTCATGCCACACAGTGCCCTCCCAAATGCTGTGCTCAGAACAGAAGATAAAAGGGCTGTTGCTCTTTCAGACATACAAAGTCATTCTCATCTAAAGCAGAAAATTACTTCTGAATTTTGAATTGCCAGAATTTTAAAAACTGTTTTGATCTGTAAGAATATGACTGTTACCAAGATTAGTATGGTCAGGACTTTTTCTTAACAGGGGGTGGTTTAATGTTCAAATGTTGCCCAAAAAATAAAAGGAGAATAATAAGGAAAACAATGAAATTTTTCTACAGTTCCAATCCTCATGTATGTCTAGAGCCAAAAGAAAGAGCTGCACATCAACAAATGATGTGCAGCTCCTATTTCTCAAACTGTATATAATGCTTCACATCAATAACGCAGGCATAGTAGAATTGATGTAAAACAAAATATGTTGCTGGAGAGCCACTGGCCCTGAAGAAAGCTGCTTAGGTAAGTCTTCCAGGAGTGGTGGTCGCCCAGTATTTTAACACTGATGATATTATCCATTAAATCAAAATAAGAGATGAAAGTCTGTATTTGATTCCTTGACTGTCTTCTCTATATAACATCAAGACCTACACAAGAATTTCAAAGGAGAAATAGAGACCTATACTCAATAGCAGGCCCATATTTTCTTAAGTATATTCATAGTACTAACTTAACATCATACAGGTTTATTAATATGACATTGTCAAAGGGCAGTTTCCATTCCATGACATATTGGAGGGTCACATTTGATTGTTTTGTTTTGTTTAGTTATTTGTGTTGCAAGCCTTTCACTGGACTAATTCTGCACTGGTATTTTTATGAAAAAAATTATATTGGAATTTTTCATAGCAGTTTCTAATGTAAAATCTACTATTAAGAATCTAACCTGTAGGTATGTCTGTCTGCTTGTGAAGAGAGAGGTAACATAGGTAAGTGAGACAAAAGCAGAAAGGAAGAAAAACTGAACAAAACAGAATAAACCAAGACTCTCAGCCTAGAACTATGTTACTGGGTCATAGCGTAATCAGGAGTTGTAAATCATAAATCGTCATCAATAATCTTGTCTGTACTGAGGATGCAGTGAAGCAAATCAGAAAACTCGCTAAGCCTGGGTATGGAAATTTCCAAAAGAACCTGGGGTGTGCAGAGAGCATAGTCATCATCTTTCAGTCTGCCACTTTTTTCAGACTTTTTAATTCCAAAGAGTATTGCTAATCCTATTAGTTTTCATTTGCCAGCAAGGGCAGGGTAGAAAGGAGCAGTGTTCAGTGTTTACCTGCACCACTGGATTTATTGAAACTGCCATTTCTCTAGATCATTACATATTCTGTTTCCAGATTATATCACAAAGCAGCAAAAAAGTAAGTATCTTTTAGGATATCTTCAAAAATGGTGAAGAACACTGGAAAGCAGTATGATAAACATAGGGAAAATGACCACAAACAGGTCTCTGTCATCATTCAAAGACAGTGTGAGAACAGGCAGAAGTGTTCTCTCCCGAAGAGAACCACGTGGAATGCTGCATGAGTGATGGTCCTTGTCACTGCTCAGGGCCCATCCTCGCAGATGCTCTCCTTGGCAGGAGTTCACTAGAAGCCACTATCCATTAGCACCTCCTGGTGCTATTGCTCTGCACCCCAGCCTACCTGAGCTCCAGACTGGGTACTGCTACAACTATGAAATGCCAAAGATATAATGCAGTGGAGGGGGAAACCCTGCAAGAACCACCAGTGCTGTTACTTCTTGTTTTTTAGGGTTAGGGTTATGGCACTTTGCTTCTCCCCTGCATGGCACCACTGTTACTTCTGTGAACTTTCCTTTCTGCTTCAACGAAAACAAAACCAATCAACCAACCAAAACAACTAAAAGAAGCAGGAAAGCAGGGAAAGCCTTGCACACCTTTGTGAGCAAGGTGATGCAGCACGTAGAGCACGGGGCAGTCTTTGGTCAGGTGTAGGGTCGGGTGGGTGTTCACCCTGGAGCTGTGGCTGGACAGAGGGCCCAGGGCTTCACCACTGCCAGGCCACCACTTTCCTTGGACAAACACTGCTGAGGGCTTGCCAGCCTCAGCGTGTAGCCAAACCAGGCCCAGCCGCGCTGGCTGTGCCCAGTTATGGGCTCCTGAGGACACGAAAGACATGGAGCTCCTGGAGCACATCTGACAGAGAACAACAAAAGTAACTAAAGAATTGGAGCATCTCTTTTATGAGGAAAGGCTGAGAGAGCTGGGCTTGTTCAGCCTCTAGAAAATATGACTGTGAAGCAGCCTTATTGGTGTCTGTAAGTCTCTGAAGGGACAGTGCCAAGAGGATGGACCAGGCTCTTCTGAGCAGCTCCGAGCAACAGGGCAAGAGGGCAGAAGACAACAGACAGCGGGCAGAAAACGATGCACAGGAGGTTCCACCTGAGCATGAGTTAGAAACCTTTTTCTTTACAGTGCAGGTGCCTGAGCACTGGAACAGACTGCCCAGAGAGGCTGTGGAGTTTCCCTCACTGGGGATATTCAAGAACAGCATGGACAAATCCTGCGCCATGTGCTCTGGAATGACCCTGCTAGGGCAGGGAGGCTGGGCCCGGTGAGCGGCTGCTCCCTCCCGACCCGACCGGCCCCGCGGGGCCCCGGCCCGGGCCACGTGAGCGGCGGGCGGGGCCGGGCCCGCTCTGACCCTGGCCCGTGCCCGTGCCCGTACGGCGGCTGCGCGGCGGTAGAACTATGTTACTGGGTCATAGCGTAATCAGGAGTTGTAAATCATAAATCGTCATCAATAATCTTGTCTGTACTGAGGATGCAGTGAAGCAAATCAGAAAACTCGCTAAGCCTGGGTATGGAAATTTCCAAAAGAACCTGGGGTGTGCAGAGAGCATAGTCATCATCTTTCAGTCTGCCACTTTTTTCAGACTTTTTAATTCCAAAGAGTATTGCTAATCCTATTAGTTTTCATTTGCCAGCAAGGGCAGGGTAGAAAGGAGCAGTGTTCAGTGTTTACCTGCACCACTGGATTTATTGAAACTGCCATTTCTCTAGATCATTACATATTCTGTTTCCAGATTATATCACAAAGCAGCAAAAAAGTAAGTATCTTTTAGGATATCTTCAAAAATGGTGAAGAACACTGGAAAGCAGTATGATAAACATAGGGAAAATGACCACAAACAGGTCTCTGTCATCATTCAAAGACAGTGTGAGAACAGGCAGAAGTGTTCTCTCCCGAAGAGAACCACGTGGAATGCTGCATGAGTGATGGTCCTTGTCACTGCTCAGGGCCCATCCTCGCCGTTGCTCTCCTTGGCAGCAGTTCACTAGAAGCCACTATCCATTAGCACCTCCTGGTGCTATTGCTCTGCACCCCAGCCTACCTGAGCTCCAGACTGGGTACTGCTACAACTATGAAATGCCAAAGATATAATGCAGTGGAGGGGGAAACCCTGCAAGAACCACCAGTGCTGTTACTTCTTGTTTTTTAGGGTTAGGGTTATGGCACTTTGCTTCTCCCCTGCATGGCACCACTGTTACTTTCCTTTCTGCTTCAACGAAAACAAAACCAATCAACCAACCAAAACAACTAAAAGAAGCAGGAAAGCAGGGAAAGCCTTGCACACCTTTGTGAGCAAGGTGATGCAGCACGTAGAGCACGGGGCAGTCTTTGGTCAGGTGTAGGGTCGGGTGGGTGTTCACCCTGGAGCTGTGGCTGGACAGAGGGCCCAGGGCTTCACCACTGCCAGGCCACCACTTTCCTTGGACAAACACTGCTGAGGGCTTGCCAGCCTCAGCGTGTAGCCAAACCAGGCCCAGCCGCGCTGGCTGTGCCCAGTTATGGGCTCCTGAGGACACGAAAGACATGGAGCTCCTGGAGCACATCTGACAGAGAACAACAAAAGTAACTAAAGAATTGGAGCATCTCTTTTATGAGGAAAGGCTGAGAGAGCTGGGCTTGTTCAGTCTCTAGAAAATTTGACTGTGAAGCAGCCTTATTGGTGTCTGTAAGTCTCTGAAGGGACAGTGCCAAGAGGATGGACCAGGCTCTTCTGAGCAGCTCCGAGCAACAGGGCAAGAGGGCAGAAGACAACAGACAGCGGGCAGAAAACGATGCACAGGAGGTTCCACCTGAGCATGAGTTAGAAACCTTTTTCTTTACAGTGCAGGTGCCTGAGCACTGGAACAGACTGCACAGACAGTGGGCAGAAAACGACGCACAGGAGGTTCCACCTGAGCATGAGGCAGAAACCTTTTTCTTTACAGTGCAGGTGCCTGAGCACTGGAACAGACTGCCCGGAGAGGCTGTGGAGTTTCCCTCACTGGGGATATTCAAGAACAGCATGGACAAATCCTGCGCCATGTGCTCTGGAATGACCCTGCTTGGGCAGGGAGGCTGGGCCCGGTGAGCGGCTGCTCCCTCCCGACCCGACCGGCCCCGCGGGGCCCCGGCCCGGGCCACGTGAGCGGCGGGCGGGGCCGGGCCCGCTCTGACCCTGGCCCGTGCCCGTGCCCGTACGGCGGCTGCGCGGCGGGCGGGCGGACGGCGCGGCCAAAGAAGCGGGGCGGGCGGCGGCCGCTGCTGCCGCTGCCCGAGGCGCGGGGGGCGCCGCTGGTGCTGCTGTACCTGCTGGGGCTGCGGGCGCTGGCGCAGGTGTCGCACCGGCAGCTGCTGAGCCGCCCGCCCGCCACCGCCGGGCCCCGCGAGTTCAGCGCCTCCCGCGCCAGGTACGGCGGGGCCGCGGGCGGGGGCGGCCGGGCGGGTGGCGGTCCCTGGCAGAGGGGTCGCGTCGCGCTGTGCCCTGGCGAGAGCTCGGCGCTGGTGGAACAGCGCCTCCCCCGTAGTTTCGTTCTGGTAGTCTCGTGTGGTGCTCAGTGTCTGGGAAGGCTTCTTTGCGAGTTTTCAGTTGTTGTATATCGAGACGTCGGGAGGATTAAAACTGTCACTTTAATTTCGGTTTTGGAGTGTTAGGGTCAGGTGTATGTTTTGATAAAAGTGTGTTTTTTCAGATATTCAGAAAAGGACATATATGCATATATAGAACCTCGTTAAAGGTAAAATCTTTAGCTTCTCCATTCACTTTTCTGCTTCTTTTTAAATTGATATGTTCAGATCAGAAGACCAATACTATGGCTTAATCTCATGGTAAATAGTTAAAAGTAACTAGTACTAATCAGGCCTATATGCCCATTACAAGTTATCATCTAACTGGCTTTAGCCTCTTCTGCCTACCTTGAGTTTTGAAATAGAACCATCTACTAAAATGTTACGGTTGTAGATAAGTTACATACTAAATGTTGAATGTATTGATTTGTGTCTTACAGGGGATATCTTGACAACATTACAGCAATTGGGCCCAGAACAGTTGGAAGTCCAGAAAATGAAGTTCTTGCAGTTAACTACCTCTTAGAACAAATCAGGGAAATAGAAAGAGAAAGCACAGATGCTCACAAGATATCTGTAGACATACAGAGGCCCACAGGCTCCTTCAGCATTGACTTTTTAGGAGGCTTTACTAGTTACTATGCAAACATAACAAATGTGGTAGTGAAGCTGGAACCTCGCAATGGAGCCGAGCATGCAGTGTTATCCAATTGTCACTTTGATTCCGTACCAAATACCCCAGGTAGGTCCGTGGTTTTGTTCCATGTTTCTGTGTGTGACGTGAGCCACAGAGCTTGGCTCATGGATTTCTCCTGCCAGACAGAGTAATGCACGTGCCAACTAGTCAACTTGAAATTCGTTGTTTAGAGTGACAGGTTGATCCTGTTAAACTCAGGATTTCACTCTCACTTCCTGGTAGGCAGCAATTTACAGATGCTTATTTAGATTTATGGGAAGTTTGGTTATGTCTTCCCTTCTTATAATTCACTGCTCATGCATATCATTCATATGCTGTTTCCACCCATCATCCAGGTCTTTTCATACTTCTGTACTGATTTAATCCTGATTTAATCCAGGATGCTTTGTGCCAGAAACTATGCCCACCCCCACTAACAAGTCTGTTTTCCCCTCCTTTTGCTGGTATCTCAGATTTTCAGTCTCATATGCTTAAAATATGCCAGATTTTTTTCTTTCCACATTCAAAGCTTCTGTTACCTTGGTAGTGTGTATATCTTTCACTGCTAGTTTGACTGTCACTGTTGCGTACTCTCTTATTCTTGTTCCTCTATATTTTTTAAATCTAATCCTGTTAAATTGTTATTGCAGCAAGGGTGTGAACTGCTTTGTAAATTTGTGGGTTTAACAAAGCTAGGAAGGTATGGATCTAAAACACAAAATTCGTTGTAACACTCAGCCATAGGTGTGTGCCTGTTATTACAGTTGAAAAACACCCACAGATGGTACTCACCAACAGTGTAGCTTTTACAGGAGTTTCTTCATTTACATCCCACACACTATTTTTATTTTTTTGGTGTGAGCCTTCTCTTCTAGCACATGTGACTAGTCTTCATTATTAAGGAAACAGTTGAGTGTTAGCTACAGAAACAACGCTTTTGCTGGACTCCTGCCTTTTTTCTGTCCATAAATAGTATATAGAACTTCTCTTTCTCCTCAGTCATATTTGTACATCATAAGCTTCTAAAGTAAGCTTAATAAATGCATGGTTATTATACATGCCCTGTGACTGAGGAACTGCAGAGATGCTAATTACTGTATGTATAGTCTATGTATGTCTGCTTAGACTTAGAGTATTTCACAAGCCTAGTACTATGATAATTAAAAATTGTTTTCAAATTGATGTCCTATGTAAATTGTGTGTTGATTTCTGTGGATTATAAAACAGGATTATGTTTACATGAGTTATTTTTTTTGCAGTTACTCGGACACTAAAATATTTCACCAACCTTGTACAGAAGTGTCAAAAACATAGGAGTGGTTTGTATAGGATTTTACAGAAAACTGCAGAGGAGATAGAAATCATCCTGTGTGCTTGTTCTTAATCACAAAGCAGCCTAGTCATTTAAAGGCAAAGGAGCTGCTCTGCCTTTTGTTTTCTTAGTATGCCAGTTGCACATTACCTAAGCAAGAATCCTTTGTTTTTTCTTCTCCCATATTTCTTATAGCTATTTGCTTACAGCCCTTTTTTTCAATACCAAAAAGGTGGGCTTTCAACCAGAATCAGCATGACTCAAAAGTCAGCGAGTAATACATTTGAAAATTAGATAATAAAATGTAATCTGCTTGAGATAATAAAATATAATCTGCTTGTGGTGCTTATATACACAAAATGCATGAAGGAAGTCTCAGTAAACCACTTATTTTAGAAAGCTTGTTCCTTGTGAAAGAAAAAACATAAACTCTGAAGTCCTAAAATATGTCTCTTGTTCTGATTCTACTAGTCCTCAGTTTATATGGCCTATTTGATTATTTTCTGATAAACTCGATAGCAAAAACATCCTTGAAATTATCATTGCATAATGGGATTTTCTTACTTTACTGATATCTACCATAAAATCTGTTACAACCTCCTGTCAGTTTTGTTATGTATGAGGTATTGGGGTATATTTTCTCTCTAAGTTTGTGTAATAGTCTGTTACTATTTATGCATGTTACTATTTAAGCATGGCTGCTTTTATCAGATGTAAATCTGTATGACTCTTGAAGCCAATAACTTTTATTTTTCTTAGTCTCACAGCAAGGCAGGTAAATGACTAACCTCACTGTAAACTATATGTGTCTTCTGAGTTTTAATACAGCATTTTAAATAAAATAACTTGCTGTGACTGTGAGCAGACTCCTGATAAACTGGGGTAGCAGTTAAGGTCCCTTTGTACTCAGAATGTTCTGTGATATTCTGTGAAATTAGTGAAAACCTGTGACAATCAGAGTTTTAAATCAGGTATTTGGGTGGCAATCTATGGAAAGCTTTTGTCAGAACAAGGCCATAATTTCTGAGAAATAGGGTGGAGAATGGTGTATTGGAAAGATTTGAGGTTTACTTATTCTATGCACTAAACTAAAGATAAAACCTAAACTAAGATTTATGTTTATATTAGGAATATGTTCTTTTCATAGCAGATACTTCTTAAGTTTTGCCTGATAACAAGCTTTGGAAAAGCTGCCCTTTTTATTTCTTTTATGTGCAAATTGAAGATTTTGAGCAGCTAACAAGTGTACCCAAATACCATGCTAATGCCTGAACACACTGTTGTTGGTATCTCAGTGCATGTCACCAACACGCCTGCCACCCAGACCCACAGGAATGAGGTTTAAATTTCTGTTTTTTCCCAAATTTTATTTATTAGAGCGGGTGCTAGAGTTTGCACCAAACTGAGGGAAGTTGGAAAGTGGGAGGCTTTGACTCAAAGATGGCTGTTAATCAAGATAAAGAACCAGTCCGGTGTAGGAGGTGTGAGATTGTAGTGTTGGATGAGAAACTCAAAGACAACAGAGTAGAGTGAAAGGAGTTTCTGCAAAGAAAGAGGATGGTGAAAAGCATCTGATAATGAAAATCTTTTAGTATAATGTATAGCTTATGGAGAATTTTAAAGGTGTGAATTCTGGAATTTGCTTAGCTTTATTTTGCAGTCTTAGCTTTATGTTACTTTGAGGTTTTGTCTTCCTAATTGAATGCATTGTGACAGTGTAGAGCACTTCAGGGTGACTTGTGTGGGAATGTTTATTTCTTAAAATTTGAGAGTGCTGTCAATAAAAATTACATCCTTATTTGTTCATGTTGTATTTAGGAAAATAGATAATTATCACATTGCTTTCCTAGTAGCCTGGTTAGTCTGCTTCTCTTGAACAGTAGTGTTGGATCTGATATCTTGTCATTCACTTGCCCAACTTCTGAACATAATTTTTCTTTCCGCTGGTGCTTTCAGCTAGTATAGACAGAGGGTACTAGCAGTATCAGAAAATATACTAAAGCTTAACACATTTGTACTGCAGTTATACTGAAACTGAAATAGGATAAACCATTTTTCTTCTCTTCGTTGCAAATCTGTGCATTTGTTGTAAGCCTTATTATTTTGTTGATTATTTTAAGGTGCCAGCGATGATGCTGTAAGCTGTGCAGTGATGCTTGAAATACTTAACACGCTTTCAAAATCATCAGAGTCCCTGCAGCATGCTGTCATATTCTTATTTAATGGTGCAGAAGAAAATATTTTGCAGGTGAGAATGTGACAGAATTAGAAATTATACATCAAAGCAGTATATTAAAACTCTTAACAAATGAAAGATATAGCTTGTGTTTAATCTCTTGAAATATTCATTGATTACCTGTCTTTTCTGGGGAGAATGTGCATAATTTCAAAGGGAAACATGCAGTTGGATTAAGGATATTGTCTATATTAGTTTAAATAAAAGACTTGCATTTTCTGCATCTGTTTGTATTTTCTGCCTTGTGCCTTGAGTTATATGCAGTCTTGAATGATGAAAAATAACATTTAGGCCTGTCTGGTAGATGTTTGACCTATATTTTTTTTGTTTCCCCATCAAGGCTAGTCATGGCTTCATTACACAACATGAGTGGGCCAAGTCAATCAGAGCTTTTATTAACCTGGAGGCAGCAGGTGTAGGAGGAAAAGAACTTGTTTTTCAAACAGGTATGAGCTTGCCTTGTGTCCAATTTCTACACTAGGATAATTTGATAATAAATTATGCATACTTGAAGGAATATTGAAAGTGATTCATAAGCAAAAGACAAGAGAACCTCTGTGCCTTCTTCCCAGTCCTGTGCAGTAATTAAGTTGTTCTCAGTTTACAGGCTAAAGCACAACCACAGCAGTTGCTTCATAGGTGGGAAGCCTGTGGAGGACAGAATAATAGAAGTTGTGTTTCCCTTTTACTTCAAGATAAAAAGGAGAAAAGTGTTTGGATAGTACATATACCCTAATACTCATACTTTCATATGTTCTATTTATTTTTCTTATAAAATCTTGGCAGGAGGATACTGACATTAGAATTCCATCTCGTGCTCAGGAAGCAGCAAAACTTCTGTGTTTTGTAGGCTGCAGTTAGACCTGTGCCCCATCCTAGCTGGACTGCAGATTTTCTTGTACTGATGAAGCTGCTTAGCTGTTTACTTGTGCTGAATGATTTAGGGGGACAGACTTTTTTCTAACCTGCAGTATTGATGTATGATACATGATGGATTGGAAGCTTGGCTAAAGGTTGTGACTTCTTCATTAGTGCTAGGTCTTTTTGAGACATGGCTTGTCTTCTCTGCCACTGAACACAGGAGGCAACAGTGGCTTGGTTTTTTTCCCCTCAGGTGTAGCTAATTCTTTCTCTCAAGCGTGAGTCATTCATCCAACACAATTGTACTTACTATGCACTCTGCGGGGCAAGAGTGTTAAATCTCCAATGAGTTACTTCGTGTTATTTGTTACAGTGAGAATGCATATCCTAACTGAAGTTCAAAAAATATTTGCTGTGAGTTTTCTGCCTATCTTTTGTTAGGACCTGAGAATCCTTGGTTGGTACAAGCATATGTAGTCGCGGCCAAACATCCCTTTGCCTCTGTGGTGGCGCAGGAAATATTTCAGAGTGGCATTATCCCAGCAGACACAGACTTCCGTATCTACAGGGACTTCGGCAATGTTCCAGGTATGTTATCGAAAGGCATGTCAATGCACATTATATTTTTTTAACAAGGACATTGTTCTGTGGTTGAACATCCTCAAATTTGATCTGTCTGTCACACTGGGAGGGAATTTCCTTGTTCCTTTCGTAAGGAAAGAGTTTTTAGATTGATTTGTCATATAGTTTACTAGGGCTGTTTTTAGATGACTGGTGTTTTCCAGAAGGAAGCTTCATGGTAGAAGACGTTCTTGAAAATACTCCAGGAATTAACAGTACTCTATTAAATATTCTGTTTTGAAACATTTTGGTACATGATGTTAATAACCTGCTTGCAGGAATGAAAGTCTGTATCTAATGGATAAACCAAAATCATCTTTAAAGATAGTGACAGTCATTAATGCATTTTCATTACCCTTGGGTTTTGTTTGGTTGGGGTTTTTTAGTTGTTGTTTTTGTTTGGTTGTTGCGGGTTGGTTTTTTTCCTTACTGGTGTTGGTGTTTTGTATGAGGGATTTGGTTGTTGGTTTTTAGGGGGTTTTGGTGGGGTTTTTTGGTTTTTTTCCATAATCAAGGACAGGGCAGAAGCTTTTTGGTTTTGCTGATCTGTTTACAGGTTGCTGTCATTTCTGTGGAAAATGAACAGTGGGAAGGAAATGTAAAATATTCACTCGGTGAACACAGTTCAAAAGACTGTAAACTTCTGTAAAGTCCTTGTTGTCCAGGACAGGTTGTTGTTGGCGTAACTTTCAAGCAAAGTAATATTTTTGAATTGATTGTTAGTACAAAGCAGTTGTTCTGGCGTATTCTGTACTGTTCTGGAGTATGCTTCTAGTCTGAAAATAAAGTAGATGATTTTGTATAAAGTCTTCTTTGTTCAGAATCGTACCTCGATGGTAAATGATTTCTTACTGACCTCTGGGAATTTTTTTATAAACCAATAAAAAATAATTAAGTTTAACAACTGCTTTGTTCCTCAGAATTGAGACCTAATTTGCCAAAAATTGTGAGAATTCAGATTGCAGGTAGCAGCTTTTTGTATATGCAGCTGAACAGGTGAATGGAATATACTGAATGTATAACTAATGAAGCAGAGTAACCTTTGAGTTTTGGTAAATACTTTCGTTTACACATTAGAAGTACAAAGAGCACACCTGATATTTTGAGAAGGTGCTCTGTAGTTTCACAGTGCTGCTTTTTATTACTTTTCAGCATGAACATTTATTGAAGTGTTGCAACTAAGCATTTGGCAAGCACTTTGTACATCTTGTACATGAGGCTGAGATGATCTGGTGTTTTCATGTGTTTCTCCAGCTGGGTACAGATATCGTGGGAATGGGTACATGCAAAAGGACAGACACTTTGTAATGTTTTAAAGCTGTTCTGTTTTAAAGACACTAGAAGTCCAGTTAGTTTTCCTTCTGTAAATAAGACTACTTTGTTAATCTCTAAGGATAATGATTGGGTTACAAAGTAGAGCAACATTTTCTGTGAAGTATATGGGAGGCTTTCACGTATTTGTTTTGGGGTTTTAGGATCGTATAGATTTTAAAAATGCTGCTTTTTTTTTTCTGTAGGAATAGATTTGGCTTTTATTGAAAATGGCTACATTTACCATACAGAATATGACACATCAGATAGAATTTTGACAGATTCCATTCAGAGAGCAGGTTGGTATTCTAAGTATTCAGTAATTTTCCAAATAGTAGTATTGTAGCTGCTTTTTCATTTTGCTGTAAGACTGCTGTAGTATAAATTAATAATTTTAAGTACACATTTAGTGCATGTTGGTTGTGTTCTCAAGAACACAAAGAATTCACTGAATACATACATTTTAAATAAAAAGGCAATATATTTGGTCAACTTGGGAAGATAAATTTTATCAGCATCCAGTGATTTTAGGTTCCACAGTTGCTTTCAAATCAAAGTTATTGTCTCTCCATTGATACCTGATTATTCAGCATTCTGTGTTCCTTTTATCTCACTAAGTCCCATTATTGGTTAATGTTTCTCATCAGGAGCTTTTGAGTAGGTTGGTGGCATAGAGACTGATCTACCAACAGAGGTTTTTGTTTTAGAATGGACCTCAGTCAAACTTACGTGGTAGCACACAGACTGGGTAAACAGGATTTATTTTCTACAACAGGTTGTGCTCATATTAGGCTATTTGGCATTGAAGAAATTGATGGAGACCTTTAATTTCCCAGGAAAAGCTAGCATAATCCTAAATGCCTCCAGGATTTTGACTGTTCACTCTTCAAGGTTATACAGAAGCCAGCCTAGATGACCAGCATGAATTAGGTTTTTAAACACTTCCTTGCACCAATTTAGCTGCAGAACAGAAAATACCACTTTTCAATTCCTATTGGAAAGATGATTTTAGTGGTCATGATGGTTATATGTAGAACTTGTCCCACTAAATGTATCAGATTAAAATACAAAAAAAAGAGACCAAATTTACAGCCAGTAAGCACTTTTAATGGTCTAGTAAAAGCAAAATGAAAGTTGAGAATGATTAATCTCATTTGGTTACCTGTGTTTTGGCTGTGTGGAAGCAAAAGGTGATTGGTGCCTGGAGGCTATAGAGTAAAATAGTGGTCTTGTCTTTACAGTCATATAGGGAAGGAAAGGCAGGCAATTCATAGTCATGGAAACCTGGAGGAGTCACTTAGTAGTGAGAAGAAGAGGATGAAGATTAAGAAATGATAAACTCTTCTATGGGTTACCCTTCAAGTCCAGTGCTAAATATCAGAAGTGAAGAAGAGTTTGTGGGTGGAAAACCTGACTGTTGCTTTCACGGAGGTGGTCTCTAAGTGCATGAGACTTTCCAAGTATACTTATTTTGACAGTTGGATAGAATAACTCATGAAAATACTATTCTATGTGTACTGTCAAATACCTGTTTGAGTATAATCATTTGTGTATTCATGTCTTCGTTGAGAATATTTTTATACAATTTTTCAGAATAGTTATATTAAAAATGCTGTGTGGTGATTTATTAACGTTGATAAATTGTACTGTGTGTCTGCTCTTTTAATAGGTGACAATATTCTGGCTGTCCTAAAATACCTTGCTACATCAGAAAAGTTGGCTAAATCTTTTGAGTATCGACATGGAAATGTTGTGTTCTTTGATATACTTGGTTTATTTGTCCTGGCTTATCCAGCTCGTGTCGGCACAATTATGAACTATATTACTGTAGCAATTGCTTTTTTTTATTTAAGCAAAAAAGTGCTACAGCCAAAACCCAGGGGTAAGTCTAGGTGAATTTGTTTTTTGGTTTTTTGAAATTTTTTTGGGTATGGGGCTTTTTGGTTTTTTTTTGTTTGTTTGGTAGTTTTTTGGTAGGGTTTTTTTTTTAGCGTTTTTGATTTTTTTAAATTGCATTGCTCTTCAACAAATAGCAATTACTAGATGCAAAAGTGTAGGTGAAAAAGTGTTCAGGCCATTACAGCATCTGGTTAGCTGAACTTCAGAAATAGTGTAGGTGTGCAGCATGCTGCAGGAGTTGTTTTGTGCTTAAATCTTGCATCTGAATATTAATGACAGTGAAAGAATATGATAGGCCTAGATGTCTAGCATTTATGAATCATGATTTTGTCTCTTATCATTTCAGGAAGATTAAAATGTAATCTTTTAAAGATCTGGAAATTGAAAAAAAAATTGCCAAGTATCAATTTTTATTTTTTTTTTGTTAATTCAGATATGATATCAGAACTGTGTTTCTTCAACACCTGTCTATAGACAGGACCAAGTAAGGGAAAAAATGGGGAAAATGACAGCAAAGTTTAATAGACAGTGTCAACCAACTTAAATCTAGTTAGACCTTAGTATGTGTGGGAACATGCCTATTTAAAAGAAATAAGGCTTAAGAAATCACACCCACCTCCTCCTCCAAATCCAGAAAACACTTTTAGAATAAGAAAATACTACAAAAAAAACAACTCAAAATTTTTTGGTTTTGGGGGGAACGAGGAGAGGGGCTTGGGATTTTTTTGGTGGTTTGTTTGTTTGGTTTGGTTTTGTATTTTTTCAGGGGAAGTTTTTATTTTGGTTTGGAGTTTTTGTGATTGTTTTTTGTTGGGTTTCTTGTTGGGCTTTTTTATATACTTAAAAGTGGAACTGTGGCCCCACCAGCCCCCTAGTAAAATTTTTGCTACCAAGAAAGCTGTAACCTGCAAAATACGCCAGTATTCTGGGAATAAACATTGCAGCAGGGATGTGTGCAAATAGACATGCAAAGAATTAGACTAAGTGATGCAAACTATGCTGTTAAGATATCTTCACAGGGAATCCCTTTATTTTCGTCATTAAAGTAGTTACACTATAGGGTAATTAAAGTTTTGATGATAGTCTGCAGTAGAATACACAAGTGTTGAATGAAGCTTCTTTTTTTTTCTTCTTCATAGCTGTTCATAACCTGAAGAAGTTACTGACTGCATTCAGCTTAACCCTGACAAGCTGGGTGTGCACACTGGTGGCAGTCCTCATGGTGGCCGTGTTTGTCTCCTTCATTGGACGGGCTCTTTCTTGGTACACCCATTTCTATGTTTCTGTGTCTCTCTATGGCACCGCAGCTGCAGCTAAGCTCATTCTTGTGCACGTGCTAGCCAAGAAGTTCTTCTACAAGGTAGGCAAGGCTTTGTTGTTATTGTTGAAGGGCAATGAGGTGTTTAATCTGTGGAAGACAGATTTGAGCTGCTTAAAAAAAAAAAAAGGCAAAAAGTTTTCAGTATTTAAAGTGTCACTGTGAAAAATTGCTTCCTCTAAACTTAGAGATTGTTCTGCTAAATCAGAGAGGTAAGAGTTATGTGATTTAAGGCAGCTTTGACCTTTAGGAGATGTTTAGAAAAAGGCAGGAGCCTTTGTGACCTAGGTCACAGCAACCCCAGGCAGTGCCACAGGCTGGGGCAGAGTTTAGGTCACAGCAGTCCCAGGCAGTGCCACAGGCTGGGGCAGAGTGGCTGCAAAGCTGCCACAGGAAAAGGAGCTGGGGGTGCTGCTGACAGCAGCTGAACATGAGCCAGCAGGGCCCAGGTGGCCAAGAAGGCCAATGGCATCCTGGCCTGGACCAGCAATGGTGTGGCCAGCAGGAGCAGGGCAGGGATTGTCCCCTGTACTCAGCACAGGTGAGGCCACACCTCAAATCCTGTGTTAGGTTTTGGGCCTCTCAGTACAAGAAAGTAATTTTGTTGCTGGAGCTTGTCCAAAGAGGAGGGCAGTGGAGCTGGGGAAGTGCCTGAAGCATAAGTCCTGTAAGGAGCAGTTGAGGGAGCTGGGGTTGCTTAACCTGGAGGCTCAGGGGGACCTGATCACTCTCTACACCTGTCTGAAAGGAGGGTATAGCCAGGTGGGGTTTGGTCTTTTCTCCCAGACAGCCAACAACAGGACAAGAGGAAATGTCAAGTTATGCCAGGGAAGACTCAGATATGATATTAAGAGACATTTCTTTATGGAAAGGATTATCAAGCTCTGAAACAGGCTGCTCAGGGAAAGGGTTGGGTCACCATCCCTTGAGGTATTTAAAAGATGTCTACATGTCGCACGTAGGGACATGATCTCAAAGGTATTTTCCAACCTAAACAGTTCTGTGATTATTTTGATTTATAGTTCTTTTGACCACAGGTGGGGATAGAACACAGCTCTTGGTTGTCTGTGTTCTTCTCTGCAATAGGTCAAAGTCATTTAGGCCCCTGCAAAACTCAGTGAGGATTTGGTGTGTGACTTTCCCGTTGCTGTCATTTGTCGTGATTTCTGTCTGTTTAGCTGTTTTGCTTAGGATTCTCTTGTATGGACTGACCAATTCAATTTAACTTGTGTAATAATTTCATAATTATAGATTATAACAGTCCCATATGATTTTGTGTGAAATATTAATAGTTTTGAGTTATCTGATAGATGACACTCTTCCAGGGCAGAAGTTGACTACTTAGGCCTGCTAGGTTGAGGTTTTATGTGCAGTAATATTTAGTCTTGTTGTTCCACTTGCTGTTACTTATATAATCTCAGTCATTTGGGCGGGTTTTGGATGAGGGAATTTAGGAAGCCTAAGTTGTCATCCAAATACAAGTATTTGAAAACGTTTTAAGAACTTCATGCCACTTGGTTTTATGAAAAGTTCTGAGTGGATCCATTGTGTCTTTTTCTGGAAGCAGTTTTTTTGAAATTTTTTGGGGAAGGGAAGTGTTAAGTGGTACACTTGTATTACTAAATACATATATTTGGTGTTTTCCCTTTGTGGAAAAGATGAGCCATTTATAAAATAGATGCAATGTTACCATTTTCCAGTCATCTGGATGAGCTGGCTGTTACTTTCATTAGCTGTTAAAACATTTCAAGCTCTAGATCTACTTCATGCCTACTGATTGCCTAATCATCAGATCAACCATCTGAAAATCAGAAGTGTTGCATGCTATAGCTTGCACCGCACTGCACAGTTAATGTTACTTCTGTAACTTGCATTTGACTTAAAAGTTGCATAAAAATTTTGGAAGCAAATTTCTTCCTTGGCTATCAGAGGCAGTGCCTATTCATGGCTCAACAACTTGTGAGTTGATAAGCTTAATGTTTTGAAATAGGTTTGGCAACTTTTATGTTTCTTCACCCTCCTCTTTTTTTTTTCTTCTCACCCTGAAACTGAAGTAGGTGCTTTCTGATAACTGTTCATGCAAGCAGTCCCTTGTGCTGCTAGCAGGATTTGCACTGCAAACACTGCAGGATTTCCTATATAACTTTAAAAAACCCCAAAGCAAATCATATTTTTGACGGTTAAATTTCTTCTTTGCCTGCACCCCCCCACCCCCAGAAACATATCTGCTGTTGTGTCTCATATGATGTCTTTTATTCAAAACAAGTAACATATTTTAATAAGCAGACTTCTGAAGTGACAGCTTGTGGCATGACCTAAAAAGGCACCAGTAGAATATTTGTGCACTAATAACAGCACTTGTGTAAGAAGTCTTTTAACAACTGTTCAAAAACAAGTTTACATTCTCAGGAGGTCCTGATAGTTTTTCACCTGTAAGTATTACACAGTTTTTTAATATGCTGTGTAACTTTTTTTTTTTTAAAGACTCTCTTTGCTTTTTTTAAAGACTCTCTTGCTAGAATACACTAGCTTTGTGTATTCTTTGGTACTGTCATTGGTACATTCCCTTCCTCCTTCTTCCCCAGCCTATATAATCTCTTTTTCAAGTTAGGTCAGCAGATTTAGAAAACTTAATAAAAAAATGCATAATTCTGTATGGTAAGAGGATGGTGAGATGATGCCATTCAAAATTGTTTTGCCCAAGGAAAACAATTTTATGCAAGGAATGAGGATTTTTCTGTGTTCTTACGAAATGGGACCTATGGAATGTGCACAGTAATGAAATGTATTTACTTATTTTTGTTACAGAATGTGAATGAGCAGTTCCTGGCAGATGTTTTTTTTGATGCCTCATTGATGATTTGGTCAATAGCATTGGCTGTTATAACTCACATGGGCCTTTGTTCAGCATTCATTTGTACATTATGGGTAGCATTTCCCTTACTCACTAAGCTGATGATCCACAAGGAATTCAGCCAAAAAGGTATGGGTTTTGAGGGGCAGATATTATGTTTCTAAACTTGTACCTCTACTCTTATTTAAGCAAAAGATATTGCAAACATTGATTTTGAGTAGTCAAATTAAATAAGTCACATTTTTGTAATGAAAAAAGTGTTCTTGAGCTAAAGACAATTTGAAAGTGTGAGAAGCTTTAAAAAATACACTGAAAAACATCCCAGGTCTCAGGTTAAAAGAACAGTATGTGAGTATATTAATAAGTGATCAGAATTTTGATGAACAGTAAAGGTTCATAAAAGTATTGTAATAGTTAAATTATGCTTGGGACAGAAAACATGTTTCAGGTTTTTTTGGTAATACAAGATTAATTTTGTGCTGGTTTTGAAAATTTTATACTGGTGTTGGTTGTGTAAAATGAGATCTTCCCATATCCATGTCAGGATTGAGGACCAGTACTGTGTATTTGGACTTGCAGCAGTATATCCTTGTGGATATATCAGTAAAGTTGTGTGTTATGTACTTTTAAGCTTCTACTTTTATGTCTTTTGTTTTTTCCTGTTTTGTATAGGTGCCACGATAAAGTTTATTGTGATGTACATGCTGGGGATGTTTGTTCCCTATCTGTATATGCTGTATCTTAGTTGGACTGTGTTTGAAATGTTTACACCTGTCATGGGACGAAGTGGTTCAGAAATTCCACCAGATATGGTGTTGGCAGGATTTATTGTGATCTTCACTATGATCCTGTCTTCCTATTTTGTAAGTAGAATTTGGAAATGTTGTTTAAAACCCTTAAGCTTTCTCTATAGTTTAGAATAAGATGGGTTTTTTAATTAATACTGGAAGTTAATGATAATTTGACAATATCTTAAATGTTACAGGAAAGCTCTAGAGCATATGTCAAAGATTCCACAGTTTGTGCTGGTCAAAGAAAGATCATTGAAGCAGAGCTTATATTGCTCTATGGTGATGTAGTAAAGACTGATGTAAAATATGAAATGTAATGCTAAATTTTGAGTAGAGATTTGATTTAACTACAATATATGACTGAACAATACATGTACAAACTTCGAAAAGAGTACTCAGGGCTTTTTCTGCTGCCATAGAACCTGGAAAGATTTTGGTTAGTTTTTTTTTGTTGGCAGATGTTTTAAAAACAAGAAAATTCTGAAAGTTCCAGGAAGTACTCACTTTATTCCTTTTCATAAAAAAGAAATCATCTTAAAAATACTAATTTTAAATACTGAGATTAAAAAGTAGTGTCTTGTATGAAGTGGTACTTGCAATTATGTCTTTTTTATGTACCTTCAGTTCCATAATTGAATTTTAGAGTTAAAAAAGTAGTGGTTTATATCTACGTGTTGCAGTTTTATAACTGGAATGTTTTTTTATTCTCTAGATTAACTTCATTTACCTTGTCAAAAGTACAAAAACGACGCTAGTAACTTTAACTACTGTGTTTGTAGTCACTCTGATTCTCGTTTGTAGTGGAATCTTCTTTCCTTACAGTTCTGATGCAGCTAATCCAAAGCCTAAGCGAGTCTTTCTCCAGGTAAGAAAAGTTCTGCATGTTATATTGCCTCTTTTGGTTGCAAGAATGTTTAGTTTTTTCAAGGTTTAATATCCCCTTTCTTTCTTGGTTTAAAAGCTCTGATGATTATTCCTGGATTTGAAACAATTGCTAGTGTTATCTTGTTCACTCTCAGTGTTCAGCTCATTGTCTCAGAAGAGCAGGGTGTTTTGGGGGGTTTAAGTGGGTGAATTGTGTAAATAATGGTAATTTAAAAAGTCATTGTGGTTTGAGGTAGGCTAAAACAGTCCTCTTCTGATGGTTTTTTTATAGTATGCTTCTTACCTGAGTAATTCTTGCATTTATATTCATAAATACTCAGATATGTGTTCAGTGCTGAAAAGTCTACTGAAAATACAGTAGACCTTAAGGATTCACACAGAGGATATTTCTGACTCTTACAAACTCCAGAGGCTCCATTACCTTTCTGCGTTCGTTGTTTTCTTTTTTTTTTCTTCTAGCATACAAGCAGAAGATTTCATGATCTAGATGGAAATGTGGTTAAAAGTGACTCTGGTATATGGATCAATGGGTTTGATTATAATGGAATATCTCACATAACTCCCCATGTACCTGAAATCAATGACACCATTAGAACTCCATGCGAGGAGCAGGCTCCCTTCTGTGGCCTTCCTTGGATTCTGCCAGTCCATTTCATGTTCCGGTTTGTGTGAACTCTGCTTCACTTGAGCACGTTACTGCTAAGTACAGGGGTCGTTTATGAAGTTTCACTTATATAAGAGAAGAAAAACTAAGGATAATCTGGGTCTAAAAGTAAATAATCCTTCCTCTGTGTCTTCTGCCACGGGTCTGCTGCAGGAGCTGTGGAAGTTGATGTGTGGAAATTAAATGTAAGCATCAGAGGAGAACAAGGAGAAGGGGGGGGCCTCCTAAAGGACAGTTCAGAGGAGGATATATGTCTTCTTCCTTCTTCCCTTCCATCTCTGCAGCTGACAGCAGAGGATGTTTGGAGTAGCAGGTCTCCACAGAAGGAAACCAGCTACTGTGGCTATTCTCACATCACAAGAATCTTGAGAGCAAAAGTTTTAGCTGTTTGAAGGTGAAAATATTTTCACTCATTTGTTTTGTAATTTAAGGCAGATGAAGGTAATGAATTGATACACTGGTGACTATTTTTCTATTAATAAGCCCTTTAAATATTAGTCTGGCCAAAAGCTGATTTTACCTGCCTTCTGAATCAAGAAGGCAGGTAAAGAATCAACACCTTTTGAATATTTCTTGTAGGAGCAGCACAGTCTGCTGTACTATGGAGAAACTTCATGTCTTCTGATGTTTAGTACCTCGGGGTATTGCATTGAGAATAACTTGAAACTTTTTTTTCTCCACAGGAAAAACTGGTATCTTCCTGCTCCAGAAATTTTGCCAAGGCGCCCCATTCAGTTTAAACTTCTGTCCAAGAAGCTGATGCCTTGGAACTCTGTGAGGTTAAGCTTCGAAGTATCTGGTGAGTGACTGAAGCTTCTGGTTTATGATCTCTGTTTATTTTTATGCCCATAATAAATCAGGCTTTGACTGCAGTACTGCAGGTTCTAGTGCCGTTCCCAAGATAGTGAGCTTTCTGAGATTGGCATGCATTAATTCAGTTTCATAGCACACTAGAAACTGTGAGTAGTGTCTTGCAATTCTTATTTCTGGGGCTGTAACCTCATCTGTCATGAGTAAGTCTTGATTGTTTTACAGAAGGTCCTTTCTAAGCTAGATCTTGTAGCATTTTACATGTTGTATGTATAAGAATTTTTTATATTTATTATAAAATGTCCTGTATTCCTCTGTTACATCATCTTCTCACTTACCCCAGTGCTTAGAAAAAATTGGAGCATCTTCTGTAGAGAAGACGTTTCTGTCATGCTTGGGAAGACATGAATAGTGGTTCAAGGATGCCCTGCTGTTCCGTGGGAAAGCAGTGGTTGCTGTGCCTCTGCCTGTTGGTACATGGTCACGCCTCTCTGTCCCCGCAGGCCCGAGCCACATGTCCCTGTACGTGCGGCCGCACGCGGGCTCGGCACTGTCCCGATGGTCCCTCGGGGATGGAATGCCTGTCGCCAGCCTGGGGGGAGACTACTTTGTGTTCTACTCCCGCGGGCTGCATGCAGCTCCCTGGCACTTCTGGGTGGAACTGACGGTGAGTGCGGCACCGCTGGAAACTGGTGGTGCCTTGGTCCATCCTCTTCCCACCATGGCTGCATTCCTGTGTGAAAAATGTCACAGTAACTTCCTAATGCTTTGCTTTATTTGGTAGAACTTAATTCTAGTATCCCTCTTTTGATAGGTCAGCTTTATAGATCAGCTCCCATGTATTTTCCATGAGTAGTATTTTCCACCAACAGCCAAGGGAAAAATATTTTTGTCTGCATGGTCTTTGATCATAAGTTTTGATTTCTCTGATCTTAACCTCACAGTTGCTGAAGTTTTATCTCTACTACTGTTATTTCAGAGTTGATTTTTTTATTACTATGAGTAGTTCCCTTTCTCTTCTTTTGTTTGCTTGGTTTTGGGAAATTATAGAATCTTGGTGGAAAATGTACATGTTGTGAAGCTGAAGAGAGTTGTAAAAGCTTTGTTTTCTAAATTTTCTTCTACATTCTTTTCAGTTGGAAGCAAGGCTTCCAGCCTTGCTGTTTGAGTCAGATTTATTTTCTGCCTCCCCACCCTTCTAACTTGCAAAGGAATAATTTTTTGCAGACCTGTATGTTTTTACTATAGGTTTAGCAGTATGTTTTTACTATAGGTTTGACACTTACCCTTCAAGTAAATATTACAAGTATCTTTGAAAGTTCAGAAAGTCCATTTTTCCTTCCCGCACCAGGCAGTCTAAACACAAGTAATCCTCGAACGGTACTTCATAAAGCAAATTGGAGTCTTGCAAGGCTTGTCACACTTGAGTCTCATAGAGGCAAAGCTAGGCAGAAGGGGATTTGCCATAGAGGGATCAGTGTAAATACTGTGTTGGAGTGCATATCTTGATTTGTCAGCAAAACAGATACAAACACTGAAGTAGGAGCACGTGGAAGCTGTATAACACATCAGAGGCACTGTGATCTAAACATCTCGTTGCCAGTCCATTTCAAATTGAACTTGTCATGTAATCAGACTGATATGTTGAAGATAAGGAGTGTCTTAGCATAGAGGACAAAGGATGGATTTTGTTGCATAGATACTGTCTGTAGAAAACTGCATCTGAATTGATCTATGTTGAAGTGTCAGGAACAATCATAAAGACTGTGTTCTCCTTTTCTCACTTTCAGGCCCCAGAGAAGCATTCTGATGGAATAGTCTCCCTTGCCATAGCAGCACATTATTTTTTTGGGGAAGATCAAAAGTCACCTCAACTGTATGCCTTACTGGAGAGGTTTCCAAGCTGGACATTTTCTTCTGGCTGGTCTTGTACCTATGACCTTTTTGTCTTTTAATTTTGACAGCAATGCTGCAGGGCTAATAGGGTTATCTCTGATGCAGTATGCCTTTGTGGCAAGCACTTTCTAACAAGACACCAGAGACTTCAGCAAGAATTTAAAATACTTCAGCAAAAGGTGTTTCTTTGGCAGTTTGACAATTTAAAGACTACTGCTGTCTTGGGGATATAATTATACTTTTCTGAATGCAGTTCACCTTGGCTCTTCCACTGAAGTGGCAGTTTGGCTAGTGGGTTTCTTTAAATGAAAACTGCACTTGACGAGGTAATATTAGCATAATAAATAGTGGCAATTATAATGGGAGGGCTCAATGGAATTATTTTGATACTGTGTAAAATAAAACTGTACTTCACTGATACATGGAGTATCACCTATCAATCCTATCCGTCCTATTCAAGTCTGATCTCCAGCTAGAAGGTATTTGTTCTGGGAGCACGGCAGAGGTGGCAAAGTCCCAAGCATTACTTTTGTCACTGGAAGTCGCTAAAAGCTGTGGTACTCGTGTAGGTTGCATTGAGTCCTTGGTAAATGCACAATACAGAGAAGTCAGTATGATGGTGGGGCGTGGTAATTGTTTATCCAAATGGTATGTTTCTGTTAAAAAACTTAGTCCTACCCTTTTTCTTGTGTCTTTGGTGTTACAGCATGAGTGGCTAAGTTCAACCTAACTACCATCTTGTGGTTTTGTTCCTGTTGGGATCTTTCATTAGCAGCACATGAGCATGTGACTTGCTCTCTCATATGTAAGAGTGCTAAGTCGTTACTCCTTTAAGTGGATGTCTTATAATTAGTCTACTTTAAATTTTCAGTTTTCTTCCAATTTATTAGAATTGGCTAATTTTGGTATCTCCTCTGGAGAAACTTTTGGTAGTGTGTCAGTATTGCACTTGCTAATACATTTTACTATTTCTTAAAATAAGGTCTCCTTTCCTTAAGGAAAAGCACCTAAAAGAGTAATCTTGAAAAGATGTCTAATCAGGATTGCTCTTATTTTATTTTCATAGGATGGATTTTATAAATGTGTTTTAGAGTATCTTCCAATTTTAATTGGCAAGCTTTGAAATCAGAAGCTACTGACCTCATTTTTTATACTTGCCAGGTTTTTAAGGTTTTTTGGTGCAGTGGTTAATAGTTAAGGGTAATTTTTGAAATTCAAAGAACTTGATGTATCTGAAGGAACTTAATGGTTTTTTCCAAATTATATATAAAACATTTGGCTATATCAATGTCACGCTACAAATTTAAATGTCTTTTTAATCTCATGAGCATTGCCTAATGTCATGCAGAGCATATTTTGTGCAGGCATCATCATTTCGAGTAGAAACATGCTAGTACTGGTAAGTTTGCAGAGGACATGAAAGAAAATTGTATGACAGTTAATTTGTGTGAGCTGCGATGGATAACAACTCTCCAGTCAGGTATTTTTCCTTTGGGTTGTTCTGTAGTTGTGTGTAATAGTGGAAAGAACCAGTGTGATTGATTGCAAGGGACATTAACAAAGACTGTCAACTCACTCATGGACTAGGGTAAGACGTGTAATTACTGTATTCATAATGAACTGGCCATCAGTATCTTAAAACCTGTGAGTTTATACATTAATGTGCATTAATCATCACTCACTTGATTGTATCTGATTTGAAAGTACAATCCCTATATTATTTAAAAGTGCTATTAATGATTTGAAAATCAGAGTTATGAACTAAAACTCCTGTGTCTTGAATCTCAGCGAATGTGTTGTACTGTACTCTAGCTGATGCACAGCTAGCTAACTAAAGCTGCACTGATATTTACCATCTTTCTCAGTTTTGAGTTTTGTGTTTTGCTTTTGATTTAAAGCTTTGGAAGTGCTGTGTGAAGAATTCATACTGGGAGCCAAAAATATAAAAATGCCTGTTGGCAATTTCTGAAACTTTAAGTGAAGCAATAACTTCTGCTGTCTCAGGATGTAATCCTTGTTAAATAAATTTATTATGAGGTATATCTGGTTTGTTGCAAATTTCTGTCTTTGTAAATAAAAGCAAAACTTGATTGGTGACACTTGATTTTTAGCATGATTAAAGGCTAATAGAGTTTTCATTCATTGCAGTAATGTTTTACTTGAGCTTGGGATAGAAATACTGCTAAGAGGTGCTGGGTTAGACAGCTGGTGTTAGAGCTGTGTGGAAGATAAGATTGGCCAAAGAATGCAAAAATCATCTGAGTTCAGAAAAGTCAAAATGGGAATTCTGGGTGTTTTCCTGGAGAGGAAGGTGGTTTTTGAAAAAGATGTGATACAGAGGAGTTACTGGTACACAAGTGAAGTATTTTCTGCAGAATTGATGGCTGAGACCAGTTTTATTGTTAAAAAATACAGGATGGAAAAATTCTTTGTTTGTGTCCATCTGCTTCCCTATTCAAGTACAAGCAGATGAGTCTTCTGCTACTGTGGGTTACTACTTCTCCTAAAAAAGCATTGTGTGATTTACTCTTTGAAATGTATGAAATGCAAGCAGCTGGTAACTTTGAGGCTACAAGAGCATAGCATAGAAACATTGTTTATTCTTAGCAGAGGCAGTAAACAATTGGTTATAATTACCTTATGCTCATCTGAAATAGTTGACAACCACAGTATTTTCTAAATTGCTTTCTTCTGTTTTTCCCTCATTTTGATGGCTTTGAGAATCTACTATGTTTTCTATTGAAGTATGTATTTCTGAAGCTGAGTACTAAGCGCTTTATCAATTTGAGCAAAGGGAGAGGCCTACATGTTGTTGTTATACAAGCTAGTGTATCCTTATAGTGTGTCACCATACCTTCAAGATTGTCTGTCAAGTAGAAGGGTTCATTTGAAGAAAGAAGTGTTGGCATAGGTGCAATGAACAGGAAAATTTCAGCTATCATACACTGTTGAGCTGAGTGGGACTGCTCTGTGCTGGTAAGACCTGTCTTTAATGTCTGTCAGTCTGTGTTGGATTGCAGTTCTCCTGGAGAAACACTAATCAAATAGACAAGATCTAACAAGTCTATACAGAAGTAGTTGTAGCAGGTGGGATGTAGCTGAAGAACAGTTTGTGTGCATGGCAAAGCTGTTCCATACTTTTCTCCCTTGAGGGCTAAACCTAATCTGACTTTCGATAATTGTCTGGAAGGGGCCTGCAGGATGACCCATTTTAGAACTTGGTATGTGGTCTTGGTGGAGAATGGTAGGAAGACATACAGGCTCATTAAACCTATGTTCTGTGATTAGTGTCAATTTATGTAACTGGCTTCCATTTTGAAGACAGAACATTCATTCTTAACCTTCATGTAAATCCCTTTCAGTCTTGGGGCATAAATAGATCCTAGAAATTAGCTAGGCTCTCCTGTTCACTTTGGAAGAGGTTCTGTTGGGGTGCAACTCTTCATGGTTCTGTCAAAGGTGTGGGTGCAGCTTGAGAAAATGCTAATAAGCATTAGCATGCTAAAGCAGAGTCTTGAGCAGGAAGTACAAGCCAGTTTAGGGAGATGTGTATTTCAAGCAGGATATCAAGCATCAGTGTTCCTTAGCAAACATTTGTTTAAAAAATTTGGTTGCAGAAAGATGAAAGAAGCAGTCTTAAAAAACTAGCAGTGATTAATCTAAAAAGGAATAGTTCTTCCAGTCTGTTCTGAGAATGGAACAAATAGAAGCTTCAAAGCCAGTAAGTGCACAGGTGAATTTAAGTAACCATCTTAGAAGGCTGCCCGTGCAGAGTTTATTTGGAGATGTTTTTTTCAAGGGAGAATGTGGTGGTTTGTTCTGTTTTGGTGGTTTTGGTTTGGTTTGTTTCAAGGTTTTTGTTTTGTATTGTTTGTTGGATTTTTTTTGTTTTATTGTTTCGTATTTGTTGGGATTTTTGGGGGGGTTTTGGAATTTTTTGGATAGGAAAAAGTAACTTGAAAAAGCAAGAAGAGAGTAGTTAGGTGCTTTGTGTCTGCTATGTAGTAGTAGCTTTAGGCTCCAGCTGTGGACTCTTAAATAAAGTCTTCTCTCAGTGCTCTCTGAATAAGTAAGCCCCAGGAGTTTCCTGTTTCAGGGGCCATGTGATAAACAGAACATTCAACAAGTTAGTATCTCTCTTTTCTCTGCTTGAACACTGGGATGACTTACACCGCTCACCCTGTGTTGCCATTCGTGTCACTGCCTACTAGAGTACTTCAGCAGTGTTCAGCTCTAGGATAGGAAGCTGAGACAGTAGGTTGTGTCTGTTGCCTTTATATTCCCTCTTACTTGTGGGAAATCCATCCTCCAGTTGAAGCTAGCTTACCACCCTCAGCAACTTACCCATCGTCTTCTATAATATCATTATAGCCAAAGACAACTTCTCCCCTCAGTTTATTATGAAAAGGACCTCCTTTTTCAGTTCTGGCTAGATTACAAATTCAGGTATTTCTACTTACTTAACAGTGGGTCTTAAACCTGTAGCTTAGAAACACTTTGGCTCTAAAACCATTTGAACTGGTTTCTTTGACCAAAAACATACTGAGGAAAAAATAGCTTACTTGGGTTGACAAAAGTGATAGTGAAAAATTACCCTGAGAAATGCAGCTTGATTCAAGCAGTTTTGTAAGTATACCCAGTGTGAAATGATCTAATAGCAAGGAATATAAAGTATCGTTCCTATTTTTCTGAGACAGTTTTGCACAGGATGAGAAACATATCTAGAAAACTTGATGATGTGAAGGAGGAAACCTTACATCAGCCAGTTTTATGTGAGCTGGATACACAAAGTGAAGAGTGCCAACATGTTGGAATTCCATAAAAAAATGCTTAGCCTCAACTGGTTAAATGGCCTATTTTTCCTGTCTTTAGTTAAATAGTACACATTTGTAGAAGAATGTGATCTTTTGTGGAGGGTTACCCCTAGGCAGCTGGTGGGTACCTACCAAACTGCTGACACCCCTCCCCAGCAGACCAGGAGGAGAAAATGGGATGAGAAAATTCATGGGTTGAGACAGGGACATTGTTTCATCTGTTGTGGGTACCAGTGAGTAAACTG